CCGCCACCGCCACCGCCACCGCAGCGTTAAACATTGCATGATAATCAACCCTGAACCCTGTAAACCTTAAAATGTCGAGAGCGAATGGCAAGTGCCAAAAAAAGCATGACCAACCATTGGAGAAGTGCTTCATCGAATACTCTGCGCAGTCGTTCTTCAAACGAGACTTAATCTCCGGGCCTATCTGATGTATGCTTTGCGAGGCTCACGTCAGTCTGTGGGATTAGCAAAGGCTCTGGTACCTTGCAACACGCTTAGGCAAACTCTACGAGGCCTGGCCCATGTTCATCTTCTCGGCGATCCAGCGGCGCTGGCAACCATCAATGAGGGCATGTGGCCTGGGCAGAATGAAGCTTTCTGAAAATTTGCAGGTTTGGCTTCCTAGGCTCCGTATATGGGCTCTCGAACATGCTTCTGACTGAATTTCTGGAATTGGAATCTTACTTCAAGTCCTACCTTGCAGAACCTGAGGAATCGCTTCCCCCGAATAGTAACTCTGCTGAAAAATAAACACTTCTCCCAACGAATCCCAATTTCCAGAAACTCATGGAAGACTATTGTTAAAAGGCCAAGACTACGTTTCAAAAGGGTCCCCGTAATGCCGAATCAGGGAAAGTTCTGGGGACATTAGAAGGGTTATAAAGAATGAAAAGAAATGAGAGACCCCCTTGATTTCCTGGAGCGTTCATTGTTCTATATGGTGTTTATAAAGGATCTCATCAAAGAATCTACTGCAAATCGCCTTGGAATTGGGGACCTCCTTGATTTCCTGGAGTTTATAGATGCGTTTATATAATCTTTATGAAAGAGTTTATGCAAAGGAATCTACTGCAAATCCTCTCAGCATTGGGGTTTTATATGGGCTTTACAAAGGAATTCACATGCACCAATGTACGGGAAGCCTTCTTTCAATGAGGGATCTCATTGTTTTCCTAGATTGCCGTGTTGCCTAGGAGGCTTTTATACAAGACTTTATACACAAAGAGACCCACCCCTAAATCCTGAACTCGAAACTCGACTTTATGGCTGATTATTAAAACGCCCAATGGGAATGCAATTAGTAAGGTTGAACTACTTAAGTAGGAATCTCCTTTACTTCTTGCTCTTGCTGAATTACATGAACGGACTCTAATCCTGAGATTAGCTAATCAGCGTGTGTAGCCGTCTTAAGCGCTCGATTTTTTGGTTGATTAAAACTCGACTTAGGTCATTCATTTAATTTTCCACTACATCTCAATTAGATTCCTAATGATTTGAATTGGAGTTGCAATGGGAATTAATCTTTACTCTTAACTAGTTCGATTTTAACTACATTTAACCTCATTTTAAATAGACTCTAATTAGAACTGGTTTCCTTCCCCCCCGCCATAGTCTTTGCCATAAAACCACCCGTAATAATCAATATGCTCCAGTGGTGTTTCTAATTAGGGGGGCAAACGTTTATCAGGAGGGGGAAGACCTCGGACCCCAAAGCCCAGAATCCCAAAATTCCACCCTAAGCCTAAAGCCCCAAATCCTTGTGCCTTCATTGCTTATGAAAACCTACTCATGCTCAGCTGGGGTTTGAGGAATCGATCCCTGAACCTCCTGTACAACACTTGTTGACAGACCAAAACCTTGAACCCTGAGCCCTTTAGGGTTTAGGGTTTAGGCCAGGTGCAGGTTTAGCTCCATGCAACGCTCGGCGTTCCTCAGGCTTCAGCGGCTGCAGGCTTCAGGGTTCAGTGTGTTTGGCTTTTCTAGGGACTCTAGGAATTTTAGCGCTTCCAGGATTCAGAATGTAGGGTTTTTAGTCTGAAGAAGTTCTAGGGTTCAGGGTGTCAGGCTAAGCAAGTCAGTCTTACCTCGCGTTTAGCCCACATAAAGTCACAAAAAAAAAACAGACCTTTCAAAATCAGACCTTAGCTAATCAATTACATACAATGACAGAGGGGTCAGCATGCTGCAGGCAAAAAACACACCGAAGAACTATACTCCGATTGAGACAAGCACAGAAAAAATGAAAAAATGAATAAATACAAACTTCGAGGCAGGGTCACCTAGTGTAACCTGGGTCTCAGTCACATCATGGGGCTTTCCCGGGATTAGGGTTCAGGTCTGTTTCGAGGATTTGGAGTTGAGGGCGCGCGGGGTGTGTGGACTAGCCAACTCTAGAACATGGGTAGATTCCCGGTTGCCGGTAATGCAGAATAAATTGCATCTGACCCTATAGACCCTATAGAGCCTAAGCGCTAGACCCTGCAACTGACAAAGAACCATAGCCTTCCCCAACTGCCCTAGCCGCTGTCTACTTGGCAACAACGGTGAATCCAAAATTTCTCCAGCTGCCCTTTGCTTAAGTTAAAACCCAAACCCCCAAGCCCCAATCTCTTGGTCAGGGTAAAGTCTTGCAAGCCTGCTGCCCGTTGCCAAAAAACAGGCTTTCGCCAAATGTTTGTTTTCCCACTTTAGCCGGAATCGCATCTCAGTCCTGGGGGGGCTACACAGAAGAGGAGACAGCGTTGTTTGACCTTCATCCTTTGACCTCTTACGAGCAATAGTCTGAACCCCTAGTCTCCCTCTTTATGACCCTTTTATTTTCATTCTTGGTGCAAAGACCCGGAAGCATATATATTCGATCACTCAACTGAAATATACACATATCAAAACTGAGTGAGAACAACAGCAAGCATGAGACACGCACCTCTCTCTGAACTCTGCGAATCAGGATGCCTCCGCCTCACCGCTTGTCAACAGGCATCCACCTTGAGTGCCTCTGACACAAGCTTGCTCACCTGACCTGTGTGGATTTGCAACCTCTGCTGAAAGGTTCCTTCAGGCTCGACGCCCCGTGATGGATCATCTGAAGGGTTCGAACCAAAGCAAGGAGTGAAGGGCTTCCTCTCCAGCAGCGGCCATTCTGGCGAGTCCGTTGCCAACACGGTTCTCAAACCAGCACCTTATCGCGGTGCTATGGACGCCTTGACTATCAGTAAAAAGCACAATATTCCGGTGAGCAAGGAACTCACGGAAAACCTACTCCAACTCGTATATGGCAGAATCCTTCTCGGCCACACCGGCCTCGAGGATAAAGTCGAGGACATCTTGCCCAACTGGACACCCAAACCAAGCGACAGGGTTGCCAGAGCCTGAGAGCAAGCAACCACCTACCCTGCTATAACCACCGCCGGGCTCGTAGGAAGTGTCAACGTGACAGTGGAACACCTCACCCAGAAGGAAAAGGTCATGCAGGTGTTCACACGCCTCGAGGGCCGCGGGGCGCAAAGTTTGAGATCGCTGGCGAGCATGCTCACCCAACACCGTGAGGCAAGAACGCGCCTTCCTGCCAAACAGCTGTCCAACTGCAAAGTGCAGCCTGCCTTTCAGTCCCTCGCATTCCTTGGGGTGCATTTTACCTGAGTCCAACGCAAGTTCCAGACATCTCAGGAGCTCGGCCCTTCGACTTTCAGTGTTTGTGAAGCGGACCGTGCCAAAAGCAACCTGCCTCAAATCAATCATGATGCCGAGCGCCTTGCAAGCAGTACTCAAGAAGCGTCTCACTGGACAGGCGCCAACCGAGCAATGGAAGAAAACTGAAATAATCAAGTCAGAGTGCTTGCACAGTGTTTGGGTGGAGACGTGCAGGAAATTGTCAAAGTACATGGTCCAAACCAGGGCCAGCTGCACAATCGCGACCATCCACAGCCCCAAAGCGGACCTAATGAGACCAGCAACACTAGCAAAAGCCCCGAACGGGAGAACAAGCTGCCGGAAAACCTGCGGTTCCTTAGCAGAAGGCTGTCGAGTTCTACGGGCTTATAAGCGGACTTCAGATCCCAGCACTTGGCCCGCAGGTTTGTGCCCACGCCGGCCTGATGGGCACACTTTTGCCAGTATGCGATGGTGCCTGCGATGACGTCAGCACTGTGAATCGTGACCTGCTCAGTTTGGGTCACGCTCGAATTCACTTGGGAGGCTTAGTAATCCTCAATTGGGCGTACCTTTGGCTTGCCTTCTTGCCATCTTGGATAACTCCGAACCTACGCGTGAGGGTGGCATCAGCAGGTATGTCTGACCACTTGAGGGGTCCCTCAACGACTCCTGCGGCCACCTCCTTTAACGTAGCCTCTTCCACCCCTTGATAGATCACGCGATCATCAGCAGGCACGCACATTGCCAGGGTTGCCGCACGCGCCCTCGTTGCTCCAGCCCGGAGCATGTCTACTGTTTGAGACGCTGGCCTGTAGCAGTCACGGAAGACCTCTGACTTGGGCAACCTTGCGGTAATGCTGAAACCTGAGCATGTGTCATCAACAAGGGATTTATCCTGGTGTCCCGAATCTTGCAAGACACGGTGGAAAAGCTTCAGCCTCTTCGACGCAAGAACCTTTGCCCTGCGCGGCGACATCCCCGCCTTCAGGCTGTCTTCTTCCATTTGAAGTTCATTTCTCCACGCGATCCACTTCCTTATGGTCTCCCTTCTGCGCTTCGCAAGCACGTCCTCTGGGGTGTGGACCTTGCTACGCACGGCTTCCCTCAAGGCTGAGGGGACCAGCACGTCAAGGTGTGAAGGGTGTTGGGACCTTCACGCGGCATCAATTTAACTCTTGAGGACTGTGATATCACCTGGCCATTCAAGGACTGTTCAGGGTATTGGTGATCCCCGGCCGCGCCCTGGGCAGACACTGAACTCTGGTCGGAAAGCTTGAAACCGAGAGCTGTCAAGTAATTCACATCTGCCCTCGTGAGCTTGTCCCTCCGACCCGGGGTGAATGCCACATCGACATCCTGTCTCCCCGTCCACGGCATGGTGGTATGTAGAAATTGTCGATTAAACACTTGCGACCCCTTAGACACAGGAAAAACAGTACCTCTTCTCTGACTTCCTTCCCCTTGGTGACCATGCAGTGGGGCCATTGTCCTTGGCAACACACAGATCACCATCAGAAAATGACGACGCGGGAGATATCAAGTTGACAGACCCCTGCTCGCTATACAGCGTGAGTGGACGCTCACAAATTCTTAAACAAGGCCAGTGAGGTGAAAGAATAGGCAGGGTCGAACTGGGCCACATATCGCGCGATGGCCGCTGATAAGCACGGATAGTCAAAGGTTGTGGTCCTAATCCCCGACATAGCGCTGAACACAACTGCACCCGTGATGAAACACTTAAATTCTTCCCCCTTTGACTCAGGGTCTATCCTACCACCCCTCTGCATGTCAGAATCCGGTGCCAGATCCATTACGTGCTCAACCTGAGGAGTAGCAATGGGAGTGTTCTGCACCGGAAGCCCACATGCAAACTGTTCAACCTCGGATAACCCGCCTTCTGAACCCTTGCACGGGCTCAGGACCTAGCCCACAACCGAAACCAGTCCTGGGTTCCAACCTGCTCGGAAGCAGCATCATGCACAGTGTTGGGGTTCGGGCCTAACCCCAAAACCTAAACCAAAATGGGCTGGGACTTAGCGCCATCGCACTCCTCCGAGCTCCCACACTCACCCCAAAAGTGAGCTTGAAGAATCTTGGACCCACGCGGCACCACTTTGCAGGAGGGTACTACCAAGCACTGACTTGGGAGGCGGAAACGTTTGGCAAGCTGGCTTCCTGTTTGGAGTCCGGCCACGGGTATCGGGTATTGGCAAGGCTCCTTCAATAGTGATTTGCTGGCGGAATTCAGGCACAAGAGGAGGCAATCGTTTCCTGGCTTGCACCCCCGAGTACGCTCTTGAGGCTTGTAGCGCATTATCCAGGTCCTGTAGCTGCACAGGAGGGAACCGGACACCTGCGGATTTGAGCTGATCCTGGATGGCCTCAGCTATGGCCTGCGCAAGAGGCCAAGTATACGTAGTTTCAAGCGATGTGGCCCATTTGTCCTTGAAAATGCCCCAGGAGTCATGTTCATGCTTCCCATCGCACAACACAGCCAGCCGAAGGACACCAATGCAATTAGGAACCAGGAGAGTCTTCTTCTGCCGTGTACTTCCAAACATGCAATGTTGCAGCGCAGTCTGAAAATGAGGCACAGAATTGAGGAAGCTGCGGAAGTGCATCTTTTAAAGCAGGTTGGCTTTCTCTACTCTACTCAGCTTTGCAAAGATGGATGAAAACCTTTAATCCCATCAGGAGACAGATCTGTGCGCAAAATTGGCAGGGCTCCCTTCCATTGCCCAAGGCGAGCACGGCTGCTGGTACCATACGAAGGCGCCATGTGGACAGAAACAAGATTAGGTTGACTAAGAACTTCCCACATGTGTTTTTTGGCCGTGTTCCGTGAGCAGGTCCAAGAGGATCATAGGGGCAACAGACTTACCAGATTGGTGATCTATGGCGAAAGAAGAATCGAAAGCAAAACGCCTCAAGGACGCTGTCAAGCGCCCGGCGCCTGAAAATATTTCTATACATATGAGGCTTTGAGAGGGCTTACCTTTAACTCTACGCAGGAGCTTCTGAGCGCTGGACGCAGACGCACTGGGCTCCCTGACCTCGCGCCTCGCGACGCCTGGAACCTAGTCAGGCAGCAGGGTGCTGTGTCAGCGAGTGTGCTTTGAAGCACCCCGGTTCAGCGCATATGTGTAGCCCTTTCGGGCAGGCTTGACCTGCAGGGGCTGGTACATCCCTTCTCCAAATTAAAATCCCAACAAATGCGTTTGCCTTTGGTGGTCTGCCAGGCTTTGCCTATCAGATCAACTCTTTGGGGACACGCTTGCTGGACACCACTGATCGTCCTCTGCCGCGTCCACGGCCTTTGGGATTGTCATCATGCTTCCTCTTGTTCGGCCTGTCAGGGAAAGACGAGGAGCCTTGCGGCAACAGCAAGAGGTGGAACGCGACACTGGGGTCCGCAATGCAAGCGGCTATCGCAGAATCTAACGGTTTTCTACCGTTTGGATTTCTCTTTTAAGGATTTGAGGGACTCAGCGACGCGCGTGAATGCTGCTCTGCCTGCACGAAGCACCTGGACAAGCGAGATCTTGTTGTAGCCAGGGGGAAGCGCTTCCTGTAGGCATTGGACGAGATACAAATCATACTTGTCCATCGCATCGTACGAGCAGCATCCTACCAAGTCACACGCAAGACCTCTCCTCCTCATTGCTTGAGTCAGCTCCAGCTCGGAGGCTGTTCAGCACTGCAACTCCAAAGCTTTGTCCCTGACTTTGTGACCCCTTACTTAGCGTCAAGCACCAGCTCCTTTGCAGGCTTTTTGCTTTGAAGTTCGGCTCGTTGCGTGGCGAATTTCTCCGGATGGAGATACACTAGCACATCCTGTTGCAGCAAGTTGCGGAGGAGGTTATAGCTGTCATGCGAACATTCCTCATCAGCAGTGAGTGACAACCCGGTTAATCGAGCACTATGGTGACAGAGTCTCCTCCGGGCACTACAGAACCATGCTAAAGTCTGGAGCTGAGTGGTATCTTGCTGACGACAGTCGTGTTGCAAGCCTGATTGAGATTACCAATGAAAGCCTGGTGGATGTATACATGCTTTGGCTCCAGCCAGCACCTCGCTCGTTGCAGTAAAGTGGCCACAATGGGTGATCCAGTACAGGAGCAGGAGATGGCCTTTTGGGACCTCTGGAAAAAGTCGCAGGGCACGGTGGCCATGGAGGCAGACACTGCACCCTCCACCGAGGCTTCCCAGACAGACACGGCACCTCATCCAGAGAAGCCTGGACACAAGTACCAATGAAGGGTGGTGGTAACGGCAGGGGCCGCGGGTCTGGCGCGAAGCAAGCGGATGATCGCAACACCTTCATCCCCATGCTTCATTTCTGCTGCAACTCTGCCACTATCAGCGTATGAGCTTCAAACACTAGCCACTTCACTGCTTTCGTGCCCGCAGCAATACCCGAAGCGGAGTTTCCTAGCTCCTGCTCAACCTGAGTATCACTCGGAGTCTGAGTCTGACCTGGAGGGCATAGCGCAAATGCAAGGTGAGCCAGCGAAGTGATACCAGCGGTCTTCAACGCAGCGATTTCCGCTGCAACAAGACCAACCTTTTCAGCCCTGTTCTCAAAGGCAGCCGAACTCTCTGTCAACGTGCGTGAATCAGCCACGCGGTCCAAACTACATGGGCCTATGGAGCATTTGGTCCAAAACTGGCAGTCAAGTTATTCAAGGCTTTGCTCAGACTCACAATGTATGCATGTGATGTTGGACATGTGCAATCAGCATTAATTAAGGCATACAATATCGCAAGCGAACATTCAAACAGGCACACGCCGAGGACTCCCACATTGGAATCTCTTGCCAAACACAAGCCATGACACCCATCATTTTGCGCTCACTGCACAAGTATGGTCACAAAATCCTGACGCACCGCCCTCGGTCGGACTGACCTGCTGTTACCTTCGGGCACCTTCCCGGGCGGTCACATGACCTTCTCGCTAAGGGCTCCCGGCTTCGCAGAGATTCCAAAGCTGAAGACAAGCTAGCTTTGTCCCTCAACAGCTTGGACGATTGACACTGCTTGCATGTCCTGGACTCTAAAAACACAGCGCGATCAACCTTAGTATAATCATCAGAAAGCTTATGGCCGCAAATTCACACGTCCGAAGTGCTTCCCAGTGGAATCCGGCGCACGGTCTTGGGACTCTTGCGAACAGCAAAACCTGTGTCGGGGTGCCATGAAGCACCATGCACCTCCGCGGCAAACCCAGGGGCAGGCACAAGTCCGTCCCCATCAGACGAGGCTTTCGATGAAGAATCTGAAGACGACCCGCTGTCGTCCACCTCCGGAAACTCTGATTGCGGTTGTTGGCCCTTAGATTCTGAATCTGCCTGGGCTGCAAGCCTCACCAGCCTCTGCGTACCACTGCTGCTTCAGGGGGGGCTCTGAAGGCGCGAGGGCGGACCTGAAGGCATGCATGCGTTACCGAAACGTCCCGACCACTCTCAAAAGGCTCCACATCCGACACATCGTCAGCACGGCCCAACAAAGGGTTTGGTTGGCCAGGCGTCCGCGTCAAGGCGGTCATGAACCTCCCTGATCGTGTTCTATCAGGAATGAATAGGCCTCTCCTGATTTGGCCCAACATATGGCAGTAGTCCAACAATGCTGGAGCCAAAACATCCCTGGCGTACGCTTCCACACTGTTCTTGCCGGAACTATGATATCCCAACAATGTTCGGCTGTACCTTCCCATGCCAAACTTGCTGCACCACGCTAGGCTGGTGTGCTTGAGGCTGTGACTTCCTATGCCTGGGGCATCAAGGCCTCCCTTAGCGAGTATACCCTTCAACCACGTGCAAAGCTCTTCCGAGGACACCGACCTAGTACCCCAAGAACCATCACCCTCAGGCGCTGGCAACACGGGACCCTTTACCCTATCCTTAAAACTGAGGCCCACAGCATCTGCAATAGGACACCACACTATGGCCCAACATGTGCCACAAACGCCGCGGCCTGCTGCAACCAACGGCATGCTTTCGGCCTGCACTGCAACTTGTCTGGCTGCCTTCTTGGACCTCGTTGTGCACTCAATGAAGCCATCTGCACAAATATCCTCCAGAGACAAGGCGACATGCCAATCTTCGCAAATCCTCAAGTCGGACGCTCGGCTGCGAGAAAACAAGGCAAACAAAATTGCTCCACCAGCATACCTGTCCACCGTGCCAAAGTGAGGTCGACCTTGGGCTGCCTGGCCGTGCGCTGAAGGTCCATGAATGACATGACTCCCCTGGGCCCTGGCCCATGGACTCCACAAGTCCCTGCTATCATCAGACCTGAGTCCTACCACATGGATTGCAAAATTCACGGATTCCTTGAAGTTCCTCAAGGCACTCGCCGGGGCTCCACTGCTCCGAAGATGAGCCAGGTATTGATCGACAAGTCTGCCTTGGAAGGGAAAATTGCATTCAAGCACAAGTCTTCCTCGCCCTGTCCATAGATTTGATCAAGCTATACCCGCGCTTCAGGGCTGTAGCTGCGCTCTTCCTTCCGAAGAGTTCCTTCATCACCACCAACGCTTTTTGCATGGTCCTGCCGTGAATGTCAGAGCCAATCAGGGAGCACGCCTTGTTCTGGCAGATAATGACGTAGCACTTCTCCAAAGCCCTATCCCACCTACGTTGGGTAAGTTGATCTTCCGATGCAGTCTCCGCAAAATTCACAGCACGATGGAAGATGTGACCCTCAAGCATAACCCGGGGTCTTTTGATTGCCGGCGGTGCATCCTGTTGCGGGTCTCCAGGGGGGCAAGGCAGGGGAATAGGGACCTCAAGTAAAATACGCTCACTGGCATCTGCAGGCATTCCATGTAGAGAGCCACTACCAAACACCAAGTCCATGCCAGGTAACTCCCAAGGCAACTTAATGCCTAGATCTACAACTCCGTGGCTGGAGGTTGCATCCTGTATGGCATTGCTCCAACGAGTAGCAGCTACTGTGTCCAACCCTAGCACCGCCCCACCCCGGAAATTGGCTCGGTTGGAAGCGATCGCCCAGCTGCTGCTGGGATCAAGAGGGTCGCTGGTGGAAACATTTGCAGCGTCCTCCAAGAGGCTCATGATTTGCGTTCCGGATCAAAATCTCAATGGAGCTGGCGTTCGACGTCTTGGAGACGCCTGGCCAGGCGGGCGATGGCAATTTGTTGGTGCTCTAGCTGTCTCCCCTGCTGAGCGAACATACGTTCAGCGCCGCGGATGCCTTTCTCAGCACGCCTCAATCGTTGCAACACTAGGCCATGGGAGACACCAGGTACAGAACCTCTAGGGGGCCCAGACAAAAATTTCGGCCACCTGAACTGAAAAACATGCATGCAACAAACGTGAGTCAAATGCATGCAGAAACGCGTGCCCAAAATTTCCCATGGAAAACATCCCTGTTTTGTTTTGCACCTACAAAACAAAATTCTTTGCACAAGAAAATAAAACTTAATCCACCTCTGGTGGAGGAACGTCATAATACTCCCCTATATGACCCTCTATATAACACCCTTCAAGGAATTTAAACTATAGCTCTCATGGTGCGCCCAAGGCTCAGCCTCTCCAGCACCGCCGTGTTGGTGACGCCGTTCTCAACCATCAACCTGGCAATGACAGCCTGAACCTCCTTGCAGTACAACCACCAAATGACTTTTGCAGTGCTATCCTCTGCAGCATTTGCAGCAAAAGCATTCCCTTTTATAGGCTGGAGCTTGAGGGTACCTGACACAGGGGGAACGGCTTGATTTTTGTGAGTTGCGCGATGCATCTATGTTCGTCTATATGGATCCTATCAGGTTCGAGCTGCTCAAGTGGCTTGTGTGCCGCTGCACCATGCCAGGGAGACAGTTGGGTCTGGATTTGGCCGCAACTCATGCATGTGTTCCTCACTTCTTGGTAAATGAGTACTGTGAGATGAATAAGTCTTCGCAAACAATGACTAGTTGGTTGCACTTTGCTACTCAACCACTTTTTGGGCCCTCTCTAGAGCGGCTCCGCTGAAACTTGTTGTACACGGTGTTCTGTGCTAATGGATGTGGGGGGTTGGCGCTTTTCTACTACGTCACCATGTGTCCCAACTGTCGGAGATTCTCCCTCCTCTATGCCCACATTCAAGGTTGACGGCAAAGAGGCCATGCTGACTTCAGGAACTGCCATCTTCCAACAGTTTCACAAACATCCGATTGTCAGTAGCATACTCTGACCAGCTACGCCCACTCAGGGTGAACTTGGGGGTCTCCCTTGGACGGTTGACACGTCGGAATAAGCGCAACGTAAGAAGCTCCTCAGAATCCTGGGCCTCAGCAGACGATCCGTGTGGCTGCTCATGCCCAGGGTCACCTGAGCTAGACCTACTCAAGCTCCTGCATGCAAAGTCCAAGCATCATGCTCAACAGTCGCACTCACTGACTTTCACGGATCCGCATGTCTCATAGCATTACGAGAAGGCACTTGTGGACGACGACTTTAGGTACCACATTGCCCTGAAAAGCACGTTGTAGGAAACCGTACCAGTAGTGGTTGCCTGGACTTACATTAGACCCTTTTTCTTGAGGACCCGCGGCCATGGTCTCAGCGACGATCTCGACCATTTTCAGTTCGCTGTCAGCCTCCTGGTGTCGTTTTGGGGGTGCTCAAGAAGCCTTTGGAGGACATTCTGGGCAGAACAAGCCTGTACACGTGAAAGTTGTCAAGCTGGAGGTGGGACGGGACTCACAGGGGTGTTCTGGTGACAGTTAAGGTACTACAGGCACAAGCTAGCACAGCAGAAGCAAGATGTCTGACAATCAGAGCATCTAATCTAGCCCTGGCAAAAGCTGGGTCTCATGGCAAGTTCTGCCGACGTCTGTGTTTTACCTGCTAGGTAATACTCTAAATTCCATGGAGGGAATAACTTGGCAAATTGACGCGAATTGAGACTGCAAAGGTTGGCAGATGGCAGACAGCAGTTAGCCTCAGAGTGCCACTACAAATTGGTCTTGCCCTCTCATCTCCAGTCCAGGGAGAGCATCTACAAACCCCAACACGTCTGCACCTCAAGAAAATCCAAACATCGCGAACTCTCATCACCCAGCTTCGGAACCCCAATAAGGCCCGCACCGTCCATCAAGAAAGATCTAGGGTCGAATCCTTCAAGATGTATCCCTTGAAAGCTTCTTCCCCAACAGATGACTCGCCCCGAAGTAAACCTAATGTTTCGTTTGGGCTTGTTGAACTGATCTTGGAAGGTTTGTCTTGGGTTCCAAGATAGGCACGTATAGCATGAGAGAACTCGATGATCTTAGACTCTTCTGGGGTCAGAGACCACGAGCTTCAACTGTGCCTCACCCTGGCCCAGGCCATAGTTTTCCGCGTTGATGCCGCCCATGGCCGTCTGGGATGCGGGGCTGGGGGGGGCTTTCGGCTGACAGCATCTTGTTCAACTGCTCAACAACCACTGCCTTTTCTGCCAAGCATGCTGCTAGGGGCCCCTTTGCCACAAAACGACTACAGACGTTGGGAACGATTCAAGGCTTATGGCTTCTCTTAAGCGTCCCTCTAAGTCCCAGGTTAGGCCTTGGCCCTCTCCCCCTCATCCCCCCCTACTTTGCAGAATCCTCTGCCTAAAAGTCCATCAAGCAGTGAATTCTCACTGACAGATCAAACGAGAACTCCCAGAAAAAATGCAAGCCCCATACTCCCAAAAATACCTTTCTAGCCTCGTACGCCGTACGCAGCAAATCATTGTTTATCTGGACTTGCTGACTGCCAGACAGAAGTAGTAGCTCATGTGACCACCTGACGCTCAATTCCTCTCTGGTGGGTCTTGTCCCTTGAGTCCATTTTCATCATCAGAATCGCCGGTGGCAGCGAAAGCTGGCGCGTAAAGTGAACCCTTGCAGACCTACACCCGAGGCAAGCTGCGGTATTGCCGTTGGTAAGCGCCTGCTTCTTCAGGGCTTCCTGGCCAGCTGGGGGTCTTGGGGTCAGGAACCCTCCTTATGGCAGCTCAGACGATGGCTTCAAAGATGTTTAGACTCTCGATGTACTGCGTTGAAGTACGTCAAGAAAGGGATCACGGTTTTTAGACTCCCATCCCAAGCTAGGAGCCATGCACGTTCACGCTAGGCCATAAGCTCTGTGCGCTAGGAGCTGTGGCTTTATGGCAGAAGGGCAACCCTGTAGAGCCTCTAGATCTTGGCTGTAAGGTTTGACGTGCTATAGCTGCACGGTTTGTGAAGTGCCAGCGGCCAAAAGGCGCGGCGTGACCTTGACAAACAAGTCACAAGCCCACGCCTGAGACTTGGGGAGGTGTGGGTGCAGATGGCTGTTACAGCATTGCATGCACAACCAGAGCTGCATGCTGCGAAGCTTCGGACTGCACTGTTTGGATTCAGCTACGAACCTGATAATAGACACTCCCCAGCAATGAGCATTCCCAAAACCAGCTTTGCATAAGGAGTGGATATTGCTCCGGAGGAAGCTTTCTTTTGCTGGGGGCTGCGCCTCGTTGATTTCATCGGACGGAGACAGGCCGTACAACTCTCGGGCAGCCTGCAAACGTTTGGGGGCACATGTTGGGAAAGAAGGATGTTGCATTGGCATCCAGATCTGCATGCCTGTCGATTCTTTGCTTTGTATATTCAACCAAATCCTGTGTTGTTTGGTGGGCGCAAGCCTCCTTAGGGAACAATGTCAGCATGGGCTTTAACCAAGCTAGCTTTCGCTTACTATCACAAGCTGGCAAAGAATTCAGAGCCTGAACCTCATGATTGCAGACCATAATCGCCGCGCTTTTCCAGCCCTCGTCTCGTGCTACAACTGCTGCACCACCTACACAACCACCGTGCCCGCCGCCACAAGCACCACCACCACCACCAC